AACTTACATTGTTCAGGCCAAAGGTCTGGTGAGGCACGGTCAAGTTTTTCAAAACTTAGCAAAGATGCTTCCAGATCTGTCCCTAGAACAAAACACCCCAAAATGAGCTCAGAAGACAAAACACATTCATTTACATTTTATGACCCACAAAGAGCATGATAAGCAGGACATTCACCTGGAAGTCTAGAGGTGTGAGGTCTGTAATCACTGAGGCTACGAAGCCCTGACTTAACACAAATAAAGCCATCCCCTTCATCAAACTTCATTTTCTTAATTTCTAAAATGGGTGTAATATTTTACTGAGGTGAAAGAAATAAATACTAAATAACCTACCTTGAACAATTGTCATTGTAACCATTAAAGATAAAATTCTCTGCTAGGGATGTCCTACCATCTTCTCTTGCTTCGTTTAAGATGTCATCTTAAATAATTGCCTCTCTAGCACCATCAGGCTCTACCTTTCCTTCTAGCTCATACTCAACAAACAAGCTCACTCTAGAAGGTTTTCTTTTCTTCTTCTTTTGTTTTTTGAAGGTTTTCTTTTAAACCTTGACCTCTCCATACATGCTTCTATCCCGTTGTCTCCACTTCACCTCCACCGACAATCTCCTTAACCAACAATCATGAGATATCTATATGTCACGGTCATCTGATTTAAATCCATCATTTTTCTGTTTCTTAGGTGACTTCTTGGTAGCATATACACACACAGACCACTCTCCTTGAAACAGTGTACTTCCAGCTTCTTTGAAACCATTGGGCTGATTTTTCTCCTATCTCACTGACTTTTCCTACTTCAGTCTCCTTGACCCAGGGCCCATTTTAGCTCACTCCACTCTCTAGCTGAGCATCCTAGGGGGACCATCATCTAAATGCCAATGATAGCATATTTATGTTTCCAATCCCAACCTTCCCTTCTGCTGAAGAATTAGGTATCTTATATGAAGGGGCTTAAAAAAGTTTCTAGGGGGAAAAAAAAGCCATTATCTTTTCATTCCATTTTTCCACATTATTTGAAACCCCCTTGAATATCCAAGTGGCTACTAAATAGCTCTCTTCATCTGCATGCCTGAAAAACCTTTAAACCTAATACAAGGGGGCTTCTGAAGTTCATGGAAAAATTCCATTATCTTTTTTCATTCCCTTTTTCCACAAACTTTCTGAAGTCCCTTCATATATTCAAAACCATACTCTTCCCAGCCTTCTCCACCTAAGAAATAGAACCACCATGAGCCCCATTTCTCAAACTGAACACCTAGATGTCATCCTTCATCCTCCTACAACCATCAGTAAACCCAGTAATTTCTATTTCAAAACATACCTTGAAGCCACAGTAGTCCAAGGAACCATCACTTCTCTCTTGGATTACACATCAACCCTTTGGACCCCACAATCTTTTCTCCACAAAGCAGCCAAACTTATTTATGCTTGGGTTTTTTTTAAATCATTTTATTAGGGGCTCATACAACTCTTATCACAATCCATATACACATCAATTGTGTAAAGCGCATTTGTACATTCATTGCTCTCATCATTCTCAAAAGTTTATGCTTGTTTTAATGCTAATTAGCTCATATCACCCTCTATTCCTTTCAACTTAAGGACTTATTCATGCTAAATCTATGGCTGTACAATTATCAAAAAGAAAAAAAGAAGGAAATTCACTGCCATGGAGTTAAACACAACACATAATGACCGTGAATAAGGTTTCCAAGACTTTAAATCTTTGTGGAGCAAATAGCCTCATCTTTCTCCCAAGTTGCTGCTGGTAGGTTTGAACTGCTGATTTTGCAGTTACCTAACCCACTGAGCCGCAAGACCCAGTACTTGGTGAATTCTTTGTCGCGATCTCCCTTTCTATTCTTCCCGATAGTTAGGCACTCAGCAATAGTAAATTAACAATTGTTGTTAGTTTGCTCCATATGCCAACTAGTTACAAAATGCTGTTTATTTAACACTATAAACAGTAGCTCTTAGCATTTTCTAGGTAAGTCACATCTTTGAAGTCTGCATAAAAGGCTATAAATGCACTCTTTGTCTTCAGTGGCTCTTGCAAGCTTTTATGATCTGAGGCACTATGTAATAAACTAGATGGGAGAAAACCAACCTAAAAAAAAACCTGCCATGAGTCAATGCTGACTCATGCTGCCCTCACAGGCCAGGGCAAAATTGCTTCTGTGGGTTTCCAAGGCTATGAATCGTGGGAACAGGAGCCCTCATCTTTGTCCTGTGAAGCAGCTGGTGGTTTTGAACTGCTGACCTTTAGCAGCCCAATGCATAACCCTCCATGCCTCTATGGCTCCTGGTTGTAGAACAGAAGCACGAAACATGTCAGGCCAATTAACTTGGATGTGCCATGAAGCCATGACCCTAATCCTCCCAGCCAAGGAACCATATCCTAGGTGTGTGATCATAAACCACCTCAGCAGATGCTCTGCTTTTTCATTGTTGCAACTCTATCTCAAACTTTTGCCAATTCAACTTTTTAAAGGGGTACAACTCATTGACAAGTATTACTATAATCTCATCAACAACTCTACCCTTAATCAGTTGAATTTGGCTACATCTGGCCCCCTCAGGCTGCAGTAGGGAGGATATTGCACTCCCTATTGTGGCTCCATCCCACTCAACCATTTGGTCGGGGTTACAAAGACATGGATAGAAGCACCATATTTAAGCAATTTCATTTCACCACACCTGGTAATCACTAATAAACGTTGGTCTCTATGCATTATTACCCTTTCCTTGTCTTTTGATATAGATGAAGTTATATGTCACTTATGACTGGCTTACTTCTGCTCATTATGTCTTTAAGCCTATCCATACTGTAGTATGTACCAAGATTTCATTTGTCCAACTCGCTAAGTATTATTTCATTGTCTTCATTTTGTTTATCCATTCTGGTTGTTTTCACCTTTTGGCTATTTTGAACAGTGCTGCAATTATCAATGTAAGAACAGAATGCTTCTTACAAGTGAGGATGGTGGGACTTGGTTTCACATACTTTCAACATGTTGGTCGAAGAGCACAGTCCCTGGAAAAAGACACCATGGTTGGTAAAGAGAGGAAAACTCTTGCCCGATTGGACTGACCCCGTCAGTGGCTTTAACAATGTACTCACACATAACAATTGTGAGGATAGTACAAAACCGGGCAGTGTTTCATTCTGTTGTACATAAAGTTGTTACGGGTCAGAACTGATTCCACAGCACCTAACAACGTGGTCATTGTATGCTTTCACTATATTTACTCATCTGTATGCTGAGCAAATAATATGAAAAGCTGAACTCTATGAAGAACAAGGCATCAGAATGAAAAGACTCATTAATTACCTGCAATTTGCAAATAACACACCTTGCTTGCTGTGATGTTGACTAGAAGCATTTACTAATGGCCAAAGACTACACCCTTCAATATGGACTACACCTCAACACAAAAAAATCCCCCAAATCCTCACAACTGGACCAATAAGCAACATCACAATAAATGTAGAAAAGACTGAATGAAGTGTTCAAGGATTTCATTTTACTTGGGTCCACAATCAGCACTCATAGAATCAGCAGTCAAAAACTTAAGTAACATATTGTACTGGGCAAATGTATTGCAAAAGACATCTTTAAAGTGTTAAAGAACAAAGATGTCACTTTGAGGACTAGAATGTGCCTGAGTCAAACCATGGTATTTTCAATTGTCTCATATGTGTGTAAAAGCTGGTCAACATGGAAGACTGCAGAGGAATTGGTGCCTTCGAATTATGGTGCTGACAAAGAATATTGATGATATTGTTTGTGAGCCAAATTCCCACTATCCTCAAACTAGCAGAAGAATGAGCAAATCTAGCTTGGTAGAAGTATAGCCATAATGCTCCTTAGAAGTGAGGATGGTGAGACTTCATCTCAAGTATTTCAGACACATTTTCAGGAGGGATAGAAACAGGCGAACAAAACTGGCTGACCTCTCCTTGTGACTTTGATTCAATTTTCTATTTGGTTTAACTGAAAAAAGTGATCAGCATCCTAAAATTTAAGCATGTCATATGCAGGAAACAAATAAGCTCAAATATTCATTAACATTGGGAAACTTCAAGAGGAGCTGATACCAAGGGCTCACACATAAAGAAAATGTTTTGAAAATGATGATGGCAACATATGTACAAATGTGCTTGATACAATTGATGTATGGATTGTTTTAAGAGCTCTAAAAGCCCCCAATAAAATGATTTATAATAAATAAAAATAATAAAACACATACCGTATATACTTGTGCATAAGCTGAGTTTTTCGGCACATTTTTTTAATGCACTTTTTGTGGTAAAATTAGGTGCCTCGACTGATATCCGGGTGGGCTTATACTCAAGTATATACAGTAAGTCCCAAACAAAAAAACACTGGGAAACTTCTTCTGGTTGACATTAAGACAGGTTAGCAAGGCTGGTCCACCTCTTCTTTGGAAAACTAGTTCAACTCCCTGTGTCAGTTCAGTCAGATAAGGAACTCCTCCACTGTCACCTATTCAAATGATGGCATTTGTGATACACATTATTGGGGCATGCAGTTACTGCTGAAATGGTCAGTGAATTTGAAGGACACTAGCTGCGGCCTATACAAATGGTAATATTCAAGGTCTGCCTTGTGGCACGCAGTTTCCAGTTAGAATGGCATCAAGATAAATTAGTTGATCCAATAGCCCAAGCATGCAGAGAGGCCACCACCCAACTACCACATGACCCTCAGGGACATGGGGCAATAACTCCACTCCAATGCACAAGCATGATACCCCAGAATAAGTTGTGTTCACCAGTACCAGTGTGATGGAGTCCTTCTTGTTGGAACTACTGTGTGTGCACCTAATTAACATGACCCCACATAAATAGGCTATTTTCCTGGGAACCCTTATATATCAAATGTATACACATAATGCTCCCTCCTGACAAAATGCCCTTATAAGGTCAAGCAATGTTTTGGTTTGGAGACATAGGTGATAAGTGTTGCATAGGGTCTCTGCACGGTCTTCTCCGATTAAACTTTTGTTTGTATGGAAAACGTTTGCTTCTCCTAAGTATTCCTAGTCAGTAGAAGGTAAGATTCCTCCCATATAGCGTTGGCTGGGAAAGGTACATCGTGCTTGGTTAAGCAGAGTCACTGAAAAAGAGGAAGATCCTCAGAGAGATGGATTGACACAGTGACTGCAACAATGGGCTCAAATGTAGATAGCCCCTGTTGTGAGCATGGTTCATGGCTGACAGTATTTCACTCTGTTGAGCTGAAACCAACTCAACAGCACCTTACAAGAACAACAGCACTGTGCTAAAAACCCTGAGATGTGACTGTGAAGACAGGGTTGTCATGTATAAGCCAGCAGAAAAGGGGCTTATTAAGAGAATAACTAAGCTGACAAAGAAGGATAAAGAATGCTTTGAGAATGAATAATAGTGGATTGGGCAACTCCAGATACAGCTGTCAGCAAAAGCCTCCGTGGAAAGGGCTATCTACAATGAGACCTGAGACTGAAAGTGATTTGACATGTCTGATTCATCTTTTTGCCTCCCAAAGTACACGTGTCTGTCTTTCTTATTGGCCTCATTCCAATTATTCCTGAAACCATGGACATCTAACATTCCTTTCAAAGCCACAACGTGTTTATGTGGGAGGGGAAAAACTACATCTCAGTGAAGCGGGGCAGGGAGGGGCAAAAATTAAGTGCGGTAAACCTCTGCAAATGGTAGTTTGATCACGTTCATGGCAGAGGGGCAATTTGAAAAAGGGGCGGTGAGCATGGTTTTGCACAATCTGATGAATGTAATCACTGTCACCGCATTGCCCGTGTAGAAATTGCCGAATTTTGACGTAGGCTTAGTTGTGTATACTTTCAACAAAAATCACTGCTCAAGGCCCCAACTCTAAAATCAGAACCAACCCAACTGCATGTGGGTACACCCAACCCACACACCTGCCACCTGAGATGACCTGCACCTTAGAAATGGGGGGGAGGGCAATGTTCATGCACTCAGCCAGAAGAAACTGTAGCAGGAGCTTAAGACGTCGTGATGTAAGCAAAACTCCAAAACCAAACGCACTGCCAACGAGTCAATTCTGACTCAGGGCGACCACAGCAAATAGCTCGATTCACATCTTCCGCAGGAATCTCAAGGCGAGGGGCCAAGAACGTCCCTCCTTTTGCTCCCACTGTGAGGAAACAGGAAAGAGCCACATTTCTCTGACGGATCAGTCCCGGGAGGTCAGCTACCAACTCCTGCAGAGGCTTCAGAAAATCGTCTGGGATGCTCAGGGAGCAGAGCACCATCATTCAATGGGGCCCCCCGAGAAAGGAAAGCGACAGTAAGAGGCACCTCTTACGCTCGGCCCCAGCCTCACCCACACGGAGCTAAGGGAAGGGCAAGGCGACTCAGTCCCCTAGGCGACATGAGTCCCTTACGGGTGTCCTCTCCCACCCGCCGGAGACTCAGCGGGGAAACTGGTATCCCCGGAACCTCAGGGGAAAACCGGCGAGTTGAAGAAAGGAACGCTTCCCAAGGAAAAGAGTTAGAAAGGCGAGGGGCCCAAGAAAGAAGTGCAAACGCGAAGGCCAGACGGAGAGTGGACGTCCTCGGGAGCAAAGAAGGAGGTGGCAGGAGAAGGCTCTGAGCCGGCTCTTACCGTCTGTGGGAGACGCCATCTTCCAACCCATGTCACGTGACGTGGCCAACCGTCGGCGGGAAAGTGAGGATCCACAAGCTCCGCCCCCCACGGGAGGAACCCCATCCCTAACTCGCAGCCCAGTCTCATTTCCACGCCCCCATAGGGCGATCTTTGCCTAACCCCGCCCACCAGCGCCAGCCACGCCCCTTACCGCAGTTGTTGAGGTGGGGTCAGGGCATAATTCTTGGAAGTTCTTATTTACTTTCCTCCGTGAGGGGGTGGGACCGCGAGCGTGCCTGTGACCAATCGAGATTCCGGATTAGGGGGCGTCTTCCCGTGTGTTCAATGTGGAGTATCCAAGTCAGGGGCGTCTTCCGTACATCCGCCAATAGAATTTGGTGAGGTGGGAGGGAGCAAGAGCGCTTCCACTTCTGGCCAATCGCATTTCCCCAGGACTGGGACTGAGGGGTGGAGTCAGGAATCGGGGTAAAGTGATTGACTAAGGAGCTAGTCTTCTCCGCGAATGGGGAGGTCCTGCAGGGGGAAAGGGTGGGGCCTGGCAGCGACAGCGCTGGGGCAGACACCACCGAGTGCAGAGGTGGCGGAGTAACGGCGAGGAGCCATGGCTGCTGTGGTGGCGGCGGCGGCCGTGCGGGCCCGGATCCTGCAGGCGAGTGAGGGTGGTGCCGAGGGATTTCGAAGCTAGAAATTGGATCCTTTCTGTCCACCCTGAAAGCCAACCTCGGTGGGACTGGCCTCTTGGCGCAGCCACCTTTGGATCGACCCCGCAGTAAACTCCTGACCTGTCCTCCCCACCCCTCGCTCCGTTCCTCCCTCGCCTCAGATTCGGCCCAGGGCCATCAAACCTTGGCCCCGTGCCTGTGTGCAGCTGCGCCATCCCCCCCCTGGTCCCGGCCCTGCTTCTCCCTGCCTTCACTCTTGTGCCCTCTCATTTCTCGACCCACCCACCAAGCCTGCGCCAGGCACCTCTCTCCCAAGAAACTTACCTCTGGTCACCTGCTTTCCCTTGTCACTAATGGGGAGGTTCCGCCCTTCCTCCACCATGCTTTCACGTCCTGCATTAGAAGTAAGGCAGGAAGGGAGGGGGGCGAGGGGCGAGGGTCACTGAGTGAACTTTGGATCTCTTGTTAAAAGTGTACACTAGGTTTTGACCAAAGCTAACCATTTGCTGAGCTATCCCCCTAAGGCTGTGTGCTCCCCAGGCTTGGACTGCCCCCTTTCTTGCCACTACTTTCAGCAAAACTTTGCTTCAGCAAGGTTACAGTTTTCACATTGAGTGGATAGGAAGGATACATAGTTACCCACGGACATTCAAGGGACTGACACTGTTAAAACAGCATGGTAAATGTAGGAGTCAAGAAAGACCTAAGTGCCTTCCCCAAAGTCAGTTCAAAGAGGGCCCACACCCCACACCGCCTATCGGCTCCACGTGTGGGAAGTGGATCCTCTCAGAAGCCAGCCTCCGAGGAGATGGCAGAGGTTCAGGCCTGCGCCTGGTGATCGCTGGCTCTGTCTTTAGCTTCTCCACTGCTGTTCACAGCCCACCGGGACTTAGAATATGAGCAAGAACTACTGCAGGCAAGATTCTCAAACTTACTGGAAACATTGCCCATGTGATCCGTTGCATCTAGTCTGGGAACTTCCTCTATACAGCCGGGCTTCTAGGTGTTTGCCAGGCTTCACCGAAAGTTAAGGAGCTGGGGTAGTGTAGTGGTTATGCATTGGACTGTGATCCACGTGGTTGGCACGTTGAAACCACCAGTTAGTCTCAGAAACCCACAGCCAGGGGTTACTGTGAGTCAGTATTGACTCAGTGGCAGTTAGAGTAAATTTTAGATTCTTGACAGCAAGGTTCATATTTAAGTATGCTCTTTAACATGACACTGTGGGAAATGAGCTTAGAGGGGTGTTTGTCCGACTGTCTAGTTCTACCCCTTCATATGGCTTGCTGGGATAATTGTTTCACTAGTAGCTTTTCTTAGTAGAAGTTCTTGGAGGAGAAACAAAGTTCCCACCATGTATTTTCCAGTACAAATCTTGTACAGGAATTGGCTTTTTCTCCTTGACCCCTCACCATCACAATGAGTTACTGAGAGCCTTAACCCGATAGTGTTGTCCTTCTCATCAGAAGATTCTTACTTCCAAATACTTCATTGCAGAAACAGACACTATTGTCTGATTCATTTAAAGAAGCTTATGAACTAACTTGAAAAAGAACAGAAATAATAATCCTCTGGAACTGGCTGTTGCTAGCTATAGCGTGAAACAAAGAATAGTCTAGCTTCTGGCAGCTTTGGATATTAAGAGGACTATGAAAATAAGGAGCCCTGGCGGTGCTATGGCTTAGATGTTGGGTCGGCAGTTCAAACCACCAGTCACTGTTAGGGAGACAGATGCGGCTGCTTGCCTGTTCCTGTAAAAATTTAGTCTTGGAAACCCTAAGGGTCAGTTCTACTTTGTCCTTTATGGGGTTGCTTTGAGTAGTAATCACCCACTCAGTGACAGTGGGTTTGGTTTTGATTTTATAAAGGAGAGGAGAATTCATGTTTTCAGTTCTCATGAGAATTCAATTTATCTTCTTTGTTAAGGTGGCTGGTGATATTTATCTGCAACCTCTGCTTCAGGAGATATTCTCACTCCCACTTAGAGATTACAAAACCAGTCTTTAAAAAATTAGGAGATTTCCTTCAGTGAGATTGGTGGAAAGAACAGAGTTTCATCATGATACTGAGAAATGTCGCCGTACTAGCTCAGCTCTGCCACTTTTCAGGGAGTGAGGATTAGAATCAAATATATTACATAAGGTACCTGTCACTTATGATCACTCAAGGTCACTCAACTTGGTACTTAGCTGAGAACTCGGGACTTAAAGCTTGGTATCTCTTCCTACATCAGGCACTTTCTCAGGCTTTGGGATAAGCGAGATAAAATACTCACTGAAAGCTCCATTACAAAACTCATTGCCATTGAATTGATTCTGACTCATAGTGATGCTATAGGACAGGGTAGAACTGCCCCTGTGTTTTCCTGAAACTGTAACTCTTTATAAGAGTAGAAAACCTCCTCTTTCTCCTCCCATGGAGTAGCTATGGTTTTGAACTACTGACCTTGCCATTATCAGCCCAACACATAATACACTACGCCACCCAGGTTCCTGAAAGCTCCCTTAGTGTAATATAATAAGTGCAAAATGATAGCTCTGCTGAGGGTGCAATGGAAACATTGAGACGGAGCTCCAAACTCAACTAAAACAATTCTGGAAAAGCTTCCAAACGGGGTTGGCCCTGGAACTGACTTGTAGGCCAGTCAATGAGAGAAGGGAGTTCCTGATAAAGGAAATAGCCACTGTGAAATAAGCAGTACACACTGAGAGAGCAAAAAATTTGGTGCAGCTGAGCATAGGCTAGTTTCCTCAACAACATTGCGAGTGCTAAGAGTTTTGTGGGAAATGAAGAAAAGTGACCAACCTGTCAAAAACTATTCATATGATTATGCGTTACACTGGCTATAATACCTTCTATGCCCTCTTGACAACAGGAAGTTGTGTGTGAGTGAAGAAAGAAAACCAAGTGGCTTAGAATGCTCAAGTGAGCTGTTCTGGGTATTTTTGGTCTCATTTCTTTTTCTTTTTTATTGTGCAGTAGGTGAAAGTTTACAAAGCAAATTTGTGTCCCCTTTGATCGTTGGTCCATAAAGGGTTCTGTGACATTGGCTCCCAAGTGTGTTCTGCACCCTTCTCATTGGATCAGTGCATTTTTTGCCCTATAAGAGAGGGAAGCAAAGCTAATAGCAAGAGATTGCTTGATGAGGACTCACTCTTCACTTGGCAAAAATTAATGAATGCTTACTCCAGGAACCATGCCAAGGGCTGAGGACACAATGGTTTACTGGTCAAAGGGGAGAGAGCTGGATAATTAAACAAGCTATTATTCCTCAAAGTGGTATGAGCACTAAGAGGAATTCAGGGTGGTTTGTGAACTCTACTGTGTCAGACCTGAGATTGCGACTTCCTGGAGAAAGGGATGGCCAAAGGGAACCTAGAGGATTAGGAGTGAGCCAAGCAAGGAGCTTGAAAGAATTCCAAGCCAAGGGAGCGGCATGTTGCAAAGCAGGGAGAGCACAGAGCATGTTCTGACTGGCTGGAGCGAAGAGCACAGCAAAGTACAAACTAAACTATAAATTGGAGAAGTAAAGATGGGGTGTTGGAAACAATACTGAGGTTACTCTTTATCCTAAGAGTAGTGGGGCACTATCACAGGTTTTAACCAGGAGAGTGGCTTAATCAAATTTCTGTTTTAGCTATAGGGTAGACACTAGAGTCAGTAGGTTAAAAATTGAAGGTTGGGAGTCCTTTTAGGAAGTCTCGGGTGAGAGACAGTGAGGGGATGGACGGGTGTGATGACGAGAGCCCAGCTCTTGGAAGACAGATTGCTAGGACTTGTGTGATTTGTGGTGGAAAAAGAGGAAGAGTTGGGGTAACATCCAGGTTTTTGTGGGGGCAGCTAGGTGAATATGGCCCTGTTCACGAAACGCCTATAAGTTGATGAGAGGATGAAGATTTGTGCGTTTCTTTTTTCTTTTCTTTTTTTTTTTTGACATACCTAAGGAACATCCAAGTAGAGATGTGATGAAGGCAATTTGTTACGTGGACATTCGTGAAGAGAACGATTCCAGCTAAGAACTACATCATCGGGGCATCATTCAGACCTAGATAATTAAGTCCTAAGAGTAGAAAATCACTTAGGGATAGTATATGGAATGAAAGCAAAAGACTGTCTGGAATGTAGCCGTGAAGAGTTGGGCAATTAGTGGCCCTGTAGACAGATGAGCCAGCAAAGAGGCTGAGACAAAGTGGCCACCAGTGGGAGAGACAGTGGACAACACAGAAGACAAGTGGGGTTCAGAAAGGAGTGGGTGATTACTCACGTCACCTCTGTGGAGAGGTCAGATCCAAGGAGGGCTGGGAAGCATCCATGGAAGTCATTAATGTTCGTTCCTGGAGGTTACAGTTGATTGCAGAGTGAGTGGGAGATGAAATAAAGATCATTGGTATAGAGAACTCTTTCAAGAAGCTTAGCTGTTAGTGAAGGAGACTGGATGGGAACAAAGGCTTGGGGAAGAGAGGTTATGTATTTCCTGTGGCTATATGCTGATAATAGATCTGTTGAATGGGGAGAAGTTTAAGGAACAAGAAAGAGTAGTTGCCTTTGATGAAAGGTCAACAACCTCTGCATTCAGTCTACAGATACTCATTGTGTACCTCTGTGTTCCAGTCCCATTTTCCTTGTAAGAAAGAGGAGGGAGAGAGAAAAGAATGGGCATAGGACAGGCCAGTTGAGTGGGTTTGCTAGTGGGAAGTTGAGAGTTCTCATCTGGTGGTTTCTGTTTTCTCTGACTAGGGCGGAAAAAGTCAGTTCCTAAGAATGAGAAGTAGCAGAGTTGAAAGTTTTAAGAGAACTGACAGTTTTGAAACAGTAAAGAAAGAAAATAGTATCTACAATAATAATGCAGTAATATTGTGTTAATATCCAGTAGGTATAACCAACAAATATGCTAAATTCTTTCTGTATGTAGCGAGCTTGATCAGGGCAACTCCGTAAGGTGGAGGAAAAGATAGATAGATGCAAGGTCTACCCTCTTAGAAGTTAG